CACCAGATTTTGCGGACTCTGGACGCGATGTGCGGTGCTCGGAATAATATTCCGCGCTCTAGCGCTCAGAATAGCGCTACCGTGAAATTTATTATATAGGGGCTCCTTCATTTTTTTTCTCTATTTCTATGGGTTAAATTTCCTCCAAACCAAATAAGCTTAACTTTTGTATGTTAGATTTATGGGCTTATTTTGTTTGGATCAATTTTTGTGTTATCAAAATAATGGTAGTGACAAAAGTTGCTAAGGTTTTAGCACTATCAAACTTGGTGGTATACAATTTGAACTAGTGTGTGTAAAAAATAGTCACAATACAAAACATCCATTTGATACTAATGAATTTGCCAAAAAAAATTGGTATGAAAATTTTGGCTTCAAACCAAATAGGCCATATATACAAAAGTTTACTTATTTTGAGATGAAAGAAGTGTTGGTTTACTCTCATCTACTAATAACATGTGGTGTCATGATTGTTCGACGATATACCACGAGGTGTCTCCCAAAATTACTTGACAAGGTGACAATCAAACAAGTATATATACAATTCCTCCTATGAGAATAAGGCATCAAAATCCCGATAAGCCAACATAAGCTACGTTGAGTCGAAATTTGGAGGAATCTTAAGAGCTAGCCGTCGACCACAATAATAGGATCATTTCAAACCGACATAGTTGTATAGCTTAAACTATGGCTTTCGTTGTACATTTCGTATTCGGTGTGTCCATAAGACAATATATATAAGGGTAAATAGGACGTAGCTTTATGGTTATTAAGGCTATAGCGATGCTCTGGTGTCGTTATAGCATCGTGGCGTTCCCGGAAGGGCAAGGCATCCTCCGCCTTATGGCATGAACTGAAGGAGAGAGGGTAAGAGCAGAGGGAAAAGGTTTGTTGTCTTGTTGTTGGTCCTCCTTGACGTCGCCCTATCCCTTCTTGTGCTGATGGGGAGTAGAGGGATTGCTGTTGTTGTGCCATATGAGAGAGAAAAGGTGGAGGAGAGGAGGCCATCGGTTGCAAGCCTGCAAGAAGGGAGAGATGATAGGAGGATGGTTTGCTTGCTGCATCATGCATAGGAGGAAGAGAAAGATAGATACGAGGAGCATGCAGCAGTGCTGCACAATGGGGGATAGAGATCTGGATGGAGGTCAGGTGGTGGTTGCTGGAACTGGGAAGGAAGTTGTTGGGTAGGGTTAAATTGCTCCCTACTAGGTCAAGAGAGGGAAGTAGTGGTCCCAGGCTAGATAAGTGCTTAAATGGGATACTGTTGGGCTAGACTGGGATAAATAGAGTACCCTATTAGCATATTTACATTCCATATTTCTTATTCTTTCTATTATTTCATTGCACGTAAGGTATTGCCATGCCATATGCCTTGTCGCTATGGCGGTAAGGTTGTGGTGGGTCGTTATACCTCGCCATACCGCCTTACTAACCTTGCCATAGCTGTATTACCTATTTCTAGGGGCCTAGATCTATAATATGTATGTTGCTTCCTTGCTACAGTTTTGTTGGCATCTTGCTTATAATAAGTTGTGTCTTCTCTGGCTTAAACTTGGTATGAAATTATCAGGTAACAGTGTTGATCACTCCTTACACTCAATCAAATTATTTCTCGATTAGCAAAATGCATGTGCTTAATTTATAAGGAAGGCATATGGTCCAATTCTATCTAAAGGAAATATATATATAATAAGTTTCGTCTTCTCTGACTTAAAAACTTGGTACGAAATTACTAGGTAACAATATTGATTACTCTTGAACTCAATCAAATTATTTCTAGATACAAGTGAAGATAATTTTAATTGTTTGCATTACCCATATGAGCAACTTCGAAGATCCTTTGTATACACTACCCATATGAGCACCTCCAAAAATCTAAGACGACATATCTTGACATTGGCGATGTCACCATGAGTGTCTCGCGATGTGAACGTCGCCTAGCACTGAAAGAATAATTAGCTATAAATGTAATCTCGTGACGTGGACGTCGCCTAGCACTGAAAGAATAATTAGCTATAAATGTAAGCACCCATATCAAATCTAGGATTTATCCCGTATAAGCTATTTCACCACAAGAAAACTAACCAGTTAAATTACTCTCACTTCGCGATATACTGTACTTTTAGTTTGGAGTTCACCTCGAAATTCACTAAGTCGATATATTGTCCTTTTAGTTTGGAGTTCACCTCGAAATTCACTAAGGGTATGGAATATAATGTTGTGCGGGTTTCCAAGTAACAGTGTGCCTAACATCAAGTTATGTTTTCCTGGCCATATTCCAACTTTTGGCTTTTTCAATTCTAAGCTAAAATTTTGTCCTTTGATTAGATTAGAAACATCTAGGCCGATGAACAACATTCACCGAATAATACGGAAGCTAGAGCTGCCTTAACGTATGCGCGTGTATTTACGTTCAACCGGGAAAGTCGTGTCTGCGTAGCTTAGGCCTCTCTTTCCCCCAATGTTGTGAACTTGTGTTCTTCTGCAGATCAAAACCTGGAGCGAGCATCGATCTAGCTAGCTAATTGTAAACCACGATCGAGGTTTCGATTAAATTCAGTGTAACCGCATCTGCAAGCATGAACACTGTTAGTTCGTTTTCGCTTGTGCCTTGCATATGGAAACCAGATCTAAGATCACGAACATCTCGTCGTCGCAAGAAACAGATAAATCGATCTCGAGTATAGCATCCAATCATCCATTTTTACAAAAACCGATTGCTATGATCTACTGCAACTAGAAATCTACAATCTTGAATCTTGCATACCTCTAACAATCGACTCAATGATGCGCATCATGAGCTACCATTTCTTGATCCTTAGCTCGAGCGACATGCTTGTCACGTACTACTTGTGCCGCTCGATCGATCACCTTCCCTTGCCGGCCACCGCCGCGTCGTTCGCCGCCCTCTTCGTCGTCGTCGTCGTCGTCGTCCTCTCGCCATCCTCCTCGGCCGCCCCGGCGACGACGACGACGACGTGGTCGTTCGGTCTCCTCGTCTCCCTGTACACCGCCGCCAGCGACCGGAACCTGGGCCTCCGCCTCGCCTCCCCACCGATAACCACCTCGTCGATGTCGCCGGCAGCCGCGGCTCTCTTCCTGCTGCAGCTCTCCACGGCCGCAGCCGCCGCCTTGCGGCCGGTCGCCGCCTTCTTGCCGCAGCGATTATTCTTGCTCACGCTGTCCGTGCTCCTGCTCTCCGACTCGCCCCCGCCGCCGTCGCCGCTGCAGCAACCGCTCAGCTGGATGAGCTGCTCCGCCGCCTCCATGTCCAGCTCCGTCGCGCCGGCCATGACATCAACCTCCACGAACATGCCCGATACAGGAGATAGATCGAGAGAGAGAGAGAGAGAGAGAGAGAGACGACGACGACGAACCACGGCGACCACAAATAGCCCCTCGAGGAGGATCACCACCGAGCCGTGGATGGCGCGGCCAGCCAGAAGCTTAAATATAGGATTCCGCCGCGTAGCGGGAGAGATCGATCGATCGAACGAACAGGCCGAGGGTGAGGAGGTGCCAAGGAAAGACTTGGAAGGTGGCAGGAAGGAGACGACTCGTCCTTGTCGTGTGTCTTGCCTCGTTTTAGCTTTTGCTTGGACTCTTGTATTATCTTCAGTATTTGCCTTGGCTAAGGCGTGTTTTTTTCAAGGAAAAAAAGCAAGAAGGTTATCTTATACTTCCTCCATTCAAAAATATAGACTTAACCATCCTTAACCTAAAAACCAAAAAATAATTATTTTTTAAATACTCCCTCATAGTTTAGATCACCCTAATAAATATAATGTATGCACCCAATACAATTAAATATCTTGAGAATAGAGGATTTAAAAAATGATAATATAGTGAAAAAAAAGTGCTAGTGATTAATAAGATATGTAAAACGGAGGGAGTGTATTGATTGAGAAGGAGAGAGCTAAGGGCCTGTTTGAGATGAGAAAAAGAATAAAATTAATAAGATATGTAAAATGAGGTGATAATTGAGTATTAATTATCACAACCTTGAAAATAGATTAATATAACTTTTATAAAAGAAACATACCGTTTAACCGTTTAAGAAATGTGAATGTGGAAAATGAGAGAATTTTCCTCTCTTTCTACTTTTGCTGAATGCAGCCTAAGTTTAGTATATTTGTCTTGGCAACAACTCTCTGAAACTCGACCCCGTCCGATTACAGAAGTTGAAGCCATAACCGTGTAAAAACATCACGAATTCCGCTCAATTCGTGTTTCTTGTATATATTTGATTTTCATTGGAATTCAAAGGATGGCGGAAGCAACCGTAGTGACGGGCTTGATCAGGACGCGTATTGTGTCGGCTGCTAGCAGTGGACGGAGGAGCACGTAATAGATTACATTGACCTTGAACGGAGAGATTTTGGTTAGCCGTGACGGCGAATGAATAGGTCTAAATCTCTCAGGTTGAAGTATTGTCATGATCGTGTACTGTACATGATCCATTTGACGCGTTGCAATGTATACTGTATTAAACTATAGATCACTTTCACTTGGGATCAGTAGTGCGTGATACTGTATACATACACCAAGTCAGAAGTTTATGCTAGTAGTACTACGTCTTAAAGCAAGTCAGAAGTCATCAGCAAGTTCAGATTGGTCAGTCACACTGTCTGCAGAGTGGAGACGATGAGAAGTGCACATCAATTGCTCAATGGACCAGAAATAATGGAGCAACTCATATGCGACCAATCAATTCATTCCCAATTGTTTCATCAATTGTAGCCTGTGGCGATTTGCACGGCTGTTTCAGCACGGCAGAAACCGGATTTACCGTACTTGGATCATTGACCCAATACGCAATCATCCAGTTGCATCAACCAAAAATTCCAGGAAACAGTCATGTACTGCGTAGGCAGGAAGTACTGTTGCTTTCAGGTCAGTTAGTTACCACCAGCTAGCAGTCAAGTAATACAGGATAGCAGAGCCGTGGCAACATGGCATAGATGATAGATGGTAGAACCAGAGCACCGCGCACAAGCCAATTCAGCAGTCTACAAATTATTTTAGATTGTGCAAAAAGATGAATGTGCCTTTACAATATATGTACTATATATATTCTACTGCATTCTACTGGAGTAGTACCCTACAGCCTTACGACTTCTGCTTATAGAAAAGGAAAAAAAAATCATAGCTGAACTAAAAGTCAGCAACAACGACAACAGGAACGTGTAACTAATTCTGTATGAATTATGATGCTCAAACGGGAAACAAAACTCAGGATTAGTAGCATAGCGACTATTCCGCCCTTAATCTATTGCGATGATGAGGAACCCAACAGAGACGTACATAAGGAAGACAGGATATAGTGCCAACGCCTTTCTCCTTGGGTTAACAGCAGCACTCATGAATGGATATGCTGCCCAGGAGCTCCAGGCCAATGTAACCACTACTGCAATGATCTTCAGTAGTACATTATCCTTCAGCATGCAAATCAAAGCTCCGACATCCAAAGGGAACAGGCAGTATCCAAGAAGACTCAGGCTCTGAAAGAAGTTGATGCGCCCACCCTACAATGGAGTGTTTAGTTATTGGCAAGAAAAGAAAATCCGTTGGTTCTGAAGGGATTTGAGAATTCCCAAGCAAGCATATGATATGAGAGAGTAAAAATACCAGGAGCAGCACATTCAATGTGAGAATTATAGCACCAGCAGCTAGTACAGCAAAAGCAACAGCAAACACTTCAGACTACAAAAGACAAAGCAAATCATCAGAATCAGCAAGTGATATATCATGTCATGCCAAAGAAGTAGAACAGCACCCTCAGGAAATTGAACTATTGAATATCCCTGGAATACTGGCAAATATGTTAAATCTCTGATAGGAACATTTACAAACTACAAATTGTAGAGTAAATTGAAATAGCTTCCTTCTAATGAGTGTGCTTTCTCTGTGTTACTGATGGAACGTTGTACAAGCATTCAAATGCACGATTTACTAAATATGGTTCTTATTGTTGCATCCATAATTTTACAACAGGAAATGTATTAAAAATCTAATAAGAATATCTAAAACTACAGAGTGCTGTAGAAATAGGACACTACTTTATCCTAATAGGGGAGTTTTCTCTTTGTTACCCATGAAAATTTGCAAGAGCATTCAAATGCTCAAGTTACTAACAGTGGTCCTTATTGCTACATCCAGAAATTTTCAATAGCCAATCCTCTCATACTGTTTGTCAACACACACCTTACATAAGAACCTGGTAAACATTATAATCTGGCAAAACCAAAAATATACTCATGAATCAGACAAATATCCACAGAAAAAAAAAGATGATACTTCTTATTGATGCACAAGGTTGGAAATGCTATGTGAAAATAGGAGTCCAGAGATTCATTAATTATAGACTGGTCCCCAATACTTTCTTCCAGTGCTCTAAAGATGGTCCTAGGTGGCACTAAAGCACTAGGAAATATCCTGTTGCTGCAGTTTTTGCCAAATCAGCTTGGTAGGCACCAGTGCTGTCTAAGCAGGTTAGATGCACACCTAGGCAGGCTAGGCATCTTTCCAGGAATACAACTCAAATGCACAATTCTTCAGACTACGAATAGTTTCAGTGTAGACATTGTATTACATTCATGCATGCATGAATGGAGGAGATGTTTATAGATCAGGAATTGTCAGAGTATGACTATTAATAGCACATAATGTCCCGGATATAAACTCTGTATTCATCAAATTTGACTAGGCAAACTAGATTTGAGTTACACCTCAGGACTTACATAGTCAAGTTTAGCTCTTGATCTCATAGTGAAGATGACTACTTAGCTCTACTATACAAACTGATCCAGCTTTTCAACATTAAACTAAAGATGCTGGAATTTATCTTGTCTGCAAGATTTAGCATGATATGCCTTGTTTGACATATTTAATTTAAGATGTGTCATAGTCTGTTGCAGCTACAATGGTGCAAAACAGTGAGAGAGCAAGCTAGCCTTCCATTAACAATTTTAGTAGAAATCGACACAGCCATAACCATTATACATGAATCTGATAAATAAGTACAACATTTACCCATTTCTTAAACTTCATGACGGACCAAATACTTAAGAGAGAGATATATACAGAGATAACTGTATCCAGAATTCCATATGAGATGCCTTGGAAGAAGCATGTGCATTAGGGAAATTAGGCATAAAAAATTCTAGGAGGATGCTCCAATTTCTCCAAGTAATTACTAACACATGGAAATAACATTTATGGGACTATCTACACATCTTTCAACAGAAATTGGAGCTAAAAACTGTCAGTTTTTTTCCCGCCGCAGGATACATGGACAACGGCCAGGATCAGCAGGTCTCTATGCACGTGCTGGTTTTGAATTGTGCAGCCCGATTAAATGATTATCTAAGCAACTGTGTACTGTTATTATCCTTTACCAAAATCAATCAATTTTCAGATGGTAGGATTAACAAAAAAAATATTATTAATCATAAAAACCATTAACTTGCAAATTACTATGTCAAACAAGCTTACTGGAAAACATAACCTAATTTATTTTCCATTTGAAAATTGAAAATAAAAATTACAAATAAATCTACTCAAAGTTACATTGTAACTACACTATAGTTACAATGTTTATAATGTAACTACATTGTAACTTTTGTAGTTACACCAAAATTATACCGTAATTTTCTCTTTTGGTGTTATCTCTGATTCTCGGTGCATATATAGTCGTCTAGTTGCTCAAGTATTGGCTTGTTAGGCAGCGAATAATCAACTCGTCGGTTTAAGTAGAGAATACAATGCTCCAGAAGTCCAGAGTACATACGGAGTATATCACATAGAAGTCCAGAGTACATATCACTGAGATGGAGGTAGAGCTTTAATGATTGCCGTGTGAAACGTGAGGAGTTTAATTACTGTACATATACAAGAGAGCAAACAAATGCACGAATCACAACGTCATATCTAAGTAATCTAACGAACGAGAAAACGACAATTTGTTTTGCAAAAATCTGTCGACAAATTTCTAGCAGATCCTAACATTTATTGGATCATTCAACGGTTAGTCAAGCTATGATTTTGTAATTCACAGTCGTTTGTCCTGCAACATCTGTAATAACTGGCTATATCTTCTTTGAAGCAAAATCCAGAATGGATTCCATTATCTAAAAAAATTCAATGGATAGTCGATGTATTTTCATCTAATCAATGTGATTTTGGTGATTCAAGTGCTCTACAGTTTTACATAGCATTTTAGGTTTTGACATTAAAGGGTTGGGGAATCAACTAAATCTAATCGATCATGGAAAGAGATCGGACTTCACATAAGAAGGCAGAAAATCAAATGCCCAGATGCCGTGGTACCTTCTTGACGGAGGCTGACCAGGAGAGGGTGAGGCCGAGGAAGACGATGAAGAAGAAAGGGCCCCAGAGATCCCAGTCGCGCAGCGCCTTCCCGGGGTCCTCACGGAAAGGGTTTGGGAAGACGACGAGCTTGAGGTTGCTGACGATGCGAGCGAGGTCGCGCTTGACGGTGTCCAACACGGGCTCGGTGAGCGTGTTGGGCGGGGGGCCGAACCCGTCGCCGGCGATGGCGACCGAGACGGAGGAGGGGAGCGGCGGAGACGACGACGACGCCACGGAGGAGGAGGAGGAGAACGGGGGGAGCTGCGGCTTGGACCCGGCCACCGGAGGAGGCAGCAGGGGGGGCGAGCTGGAGACGGGGATCGAGGCCCGCGGAGGCGACGGCGGCCGCGCGGGGAGCACCGCGGCCGCGGAGGGCGGCGCCGCGTGGATGAGGCTCTCGATCTCGTCCATGTCCGACTGCGCGGACGAGGAGTGGAGCGGGATGGTGTCGCCGTGCGACATCGCGGCGGCGGTGTGCCCACCGGCGGCGATTTTACCGTGCGATCGCGAGTCGCGACGGCGGCGGGGAGAGAGGGTGGAGACGTGTGCGCGAATCGCAGAAATGGTGGTGGTGCGCGCGGTCGTGTTTTTGTGCGACCCGACCCGATCGTGTTTTTCGCTAGTGGGGCGTGGAATGGATCCGCGGCTCACGGGCGACACGATGCGGGGGGCTCCGTGCCTCCGTGTACGACATCACCGTGCGTGAAACCGCGACACACGGGTACACGACGCCACGCCCGGAAGCACGAGGTGAAACGGCTCACTCAAGAGTTTACTGAACTGTTTGAGGGTGAAGTTATCGTCACCCCCCACAATTTAATTGTTATCGCTGTTACCGCGAAAACCTTATGATTACTATGAGATATAAGGTGACTTTAAAAATTAAGTTACCACATGTGATAGTCACGATTAGGGACGAAAACGGTTATCGACCGATGTCGTTTCCGTATAAGAAGTACCGTTTTTTTTATCATACTGTTTTTTTTGTTATTTATAAATTTTGTTTTTTTTCTAATTTCTATCTACATCGTATTAATATCGATACTGAGTACTACCTTCAACCCAAAATAGTATTTTTCTTGTAACGTTTGACCATTCGTCTTATTTGAAAAATTTATGTAAATATAAAAAAAGATAAATCATACTTAAATTGCTTTTGATAATAAATCAAGTCAAAAACAAAATAAATAATAATTCTATAATTTTTTAAATAAGATAAATGATTAAAAGTTATAAGTAAAAACATAATAAAACGATAAGTATTTTGAGAGGGAGATACTAGTTTAAATGGCAAGTATGATACCGATTTCAACCGTTTTCACCCCTACCCTTGTAAAGGACCTCAGCCGCGCCGATAATCCGCGGCCGCGCGCGGGGGGCCTCGCAAAAACACAAAAGCACACGCACGCCGCGCACAGCGCAGTCACTCACACTCGCGGTCTCCCTCCCTCCCTCCCTCACGTCACGTCACACGCGTCGCGTCGCTCGCTTGCCTTCGCCCTCGTGTCGAGCACTCTCTCCCTCTTTCCATTCCGGCTCCAACCAACCAACCACCCCCCCCCCCCCCACCACGGCGAGAGCCGCCGTACAGCCAGCAAGCTGCCGCGCGGCGCGAGGTCGCCGAGGCTCGGGGGCCGGCGGGCGGATGGCGTCGTCGAGGGTGATGGCGGCGGCGGCGGCGTCGTCGTCGTCGTCGCCCCCGCCCCCGCCCCCGGCGGCGGCCGCGGCCGGCGGGGCCGCCGATCTCGCGCGGTTCAGGAGCACCAGCAGCGGCATCGGATCCATGAACATGGACGACATCCTCCGCAACATATACGGCGAGGCCGCGCCGCCGCCTGGGGCCGCCGGCTCGGCCCCGGCCCCGCCCCCGGCGGGGGAGGCGGCGGGGGCCCCCGTGGCGGAGGTCGCCGCGCGGCGGACGGCGGAGGAGGTGTGGAAGGAGATCTCGTCCTCGGGAGGGCTATCTGCTCCCGCTCCAGCTCCCGCGGCCGGCGCTGCGGGTAGGGGTGGCGGGCCTGAGATGACGCTGGAGGATTTCCTGGCTAGGGAGGATGACCCTAGGGCAACGGCCGTGGAGGGGAATATGGTTGTGGGGTTCCCTAATGTAACGGAGGGTGTGGGTACAGCAGGAGGAGGAAGAGGCGGCGGCGGCGGCGGGAGGGGGAGGAAGCGGACGCTGATGGATCCAGCTGACCGCGCAGCGATGCAGCGGCAGAAGCGAATGATCAAGAACCGCGAATCTGCGGCGAGGTCCAGGGAGAGGAAACAGGTTGGGCTGGATTCTTCAGTGGGGAGAGAATTTGATGCATTCATCAAGTGGGTTTGGGGCTGTTTGGCTTTGCACAGTCATGAGTTCAGAACATGATGCTTTCCATTTTGTTCTCAATGCAGGCGTATATCGCAGAGCTGGAGGCTCAGGTCGCGGAGCTTGAGGAAGAACATGCACAGCTGTTAAGAGAACAGGTACTGTTTACTTTTGCGTTTTTGGAAATGTTATCTGTGAAATGTTGAAATGGAGCATGGATACATCAACCAATTATACTCATTTGCCGCTTTATTATGCCTGAACTCTTTCTGGTAGTAATTTTTCCCATGTTAGATAACTGCTTAGTACATTACATTATTTCAGTAAAGCACCAGGGCATATTGGGATAAAAGGGACACTGACATTTGAACTGTCAGCAATTCAGGATGTTGGTGTGTTCAAAATATAAAGTTGTCATGCATCTTAGGATGGTCGCTATATAATGTTAGTGTTTTTACAGCATGTAAGGCAATGCTTGATCCATGGAAATTCACTAATCAAACAGAAAATGTATTTTAGTATTAATATTTCAGTACCAAATATGTCAAATCTTTCACATAAGTAAAATAAGGTAGTTCATATCCCTGCCATTTTCCCCTTATTTTGTTGAATGAATAAAAATATTATTTTTGTTGGCCTTAGTTCATTTCAAGACTTTCATCTGTTTCTTTTCTTATACAAATAATTATGAAGTTAAAACATGTGACCACCAATGAACTCTTGGTAGTCTACTGTCTTATGTATTTCCCAGTGCGTAGTGTCATATGTAAACAGGTATATATGACGTATATTGTTGTCATGTTCTTGAGGTAGATACATTTTCCCCATTACTTCATTCTCTAGTATGAGCATTTTGCTCCTTGCAGTGTCCAGACCAGGATTACCCCTTAAAAGTTGTGCACTATTCTTTTCAACAAATTAGACAGACAGCAAATTGCTAAAAAGAGAACAATTTTGCCCTGTACCTTGATTATGTTCTATCTCTTGTTCGGCTATATGGACTTCTACCAAGTTTATCTAATTTTACCATCTCTGTTGAATTGCAGGAGGAGAAAAATCAAAAGAGGCTTAAGGAGGTAAGTTTGATTGTCTAACATAATTGCTTCTGTATCTTTTTTACTTTGAAACTTGATTTAACATCTGTATGGTACAGTATCATAATATGTCCTTAAAAGTTTCATTCTGCTTGAGAGCTGAGACATTTAATTGAGTTGCATATATGTTTCCATGTTTAAAGTCGTAGTGTGGTTTATTGGACATTTAATACAATCTTTTGGAAAGCGTATTGCAGAACTTTTAAGCTTTTTAAAATGAAGGCAGTCGTTATGTCAAATTACATGCTTCCTTGGCCATTTTGATCTGGTTTTTCTTACAGGAGCTAACAAGCTTAATGTCTCCATCGGTGTTTGGTGAACTAAATAATTAATGCACTGATTAATCAAGTTTATCTGCACACTATGTCAGCTTGCTTGGGATTCTTTATTTCATGTTTGGTAATACATGATTCAAATAGTTTTTTGTTATTTAGAAGTGGTCCGTCCAGCAATCCTGACAACTATTTCTCACGACAACACTGCTTGTCAAGTTGATCCACCCAGGTATAGTACAATAAGTTATCATTTTGTCCCTACCATTGGGGGTGGATGGCGCTTGCTGCATGCATATGACATAATGAAAATGGTATCACATCTTCTATATAACAATGTTTGCAGCCCAAATCTAGTACATTGAGGTGTTCATATAGCAAATGTATACACGATAAAAGTCCATATTTTCTCCCAATCTAATTTCTGTGTTGTTTTTAAATTTATTTTGCTAAATTTGTTGTTTGTTATTTGCTGCATAAGTATGTAGTAAGCAAAACATGCCATTTTTTTTACTTTATTTCTCAGAAATGGCACGTGTTTATGCAGATCAAGGAACAAGCCGTTGCAGTTGTCATAAGGAAAAAAACACAAGATCTACGAAGAACCAACTCAATGGAATGGTAGAAGTAACCCAATTTCTGTTGTTACTCTCTTACAGCTACAGAGATTCTCCCGTTTTCTGTTTCCCCTAGCTGATGTTTCAGGCGACTTGGTAGAATAGTCAAGGCTTTCAGGTGACATGAAATCTCAAATGCCATCAGAAGGTGTAGCTGTGCGTGATCAAAATGTCACGCCATTCAGAATTGGTCTGCGATCTGTTATTTATTTGTCATCAGGCTCATGCGGCTAACTGTGTGTACAAACAAGAATAAGCCGGTTTACATGAAAGGTAGATTAATGTTACAGATCTGAGCCACCTGTGTTTTGAGTGTGTTTCTCTTGTGTTTCCACTGATGAAAAAGCCTTCGATTTATTCTTCATTTCTTCAAATATAAAAGGAAAAAAAGCAGTGCTGTTTATTAGCTGATTTGATTTGAGCTGCTTAGATGTGGGGCATCCGGGCATATCACTTCATTGGGCTCGATCGTCTCGTCCATTGTCAAAACAGTAGAGAGCATCTTTCCATTTAGAAAGTTGCGTAACGGAAATTTTCATCAGAACTGGAAAAGGACAGCATGAGTACGACAGTATCGGTTATTAAAAGGGACAGCATGAGCATGGAAAAATGGTATAGAAATATAAAAAGTTTTAGAATTGGTCACGTTTATTAAAAAATAGGCAAAATTAAATAGCGAGAGGTTGTGATTGGTTGAGAAGTAGAGATAGGTCGAAAAAGTGAATGGTAAAGGGTTGTAATTGGTAAGTAGGTTAAAATAAATAGAAAAAGGTTGTGATTGGCTAAGAAGTGAAAAAGGGGAATGGTGGAGAGTTGTGATTGGTTAGAAAGAAAATGTTGGTGGAGAAGTTGTTATATTTTGGGATAAATCCTGAGTCCTAAAAGTTATTATATTTGAGACATACTCCTGTTATATTTGGGACGGAGGGAGTACGCTGATATTTACCAGTACAATTCGCCTGCGGGCCTAATTGGCACTCTTGGATATATACTCCATCCCATTTGATCATCCTCTAAATTTGTTGAGGTCTTTTCAAATTAATCATCATCTAACTGATATCTATTTGTTTATTCGTGCATAAATAAATAAAATTGTTACGTTTTGTTTGTTTATGTGTGCAGAGTAAATGCAATTATAGTATGTCTATTCGTTTATCCGTGCATAAATGACATCGTCGCATGTCTTGTATGCATTCAATTGCACATTTGCATACCCACATGTATGTAGAGCATCTTATCGATGAGGTTTAATTTCAAAAGGAATGTTTTTTTTTGCCTTGGTCTCGACACCATTTGCAAATATGATGGTCAAATTGAAAAGAGGGACTATTATATTCCAATTCATTTGCAAATTTTAAATTTTACAACTTCATTTTAAGAATAATTTAAGTTAATTTTGTCATTTTGTTGTCTACTCTCTCGTAATATAACTACTTGTAGTATTCAAAATTTACTCTACAATATAGTTACTTCTTCGTATATACCGATCATAAATATTTCTTGTTTAATTTCTTTACCTATTTCATCTCAACTAATCAATCACAACTATCATGTATTTAATTTCATCTCTCTCTCCTAATCCTGGTAAAAAATTTTCAGAAGTGATTATATTTTAGGACAAAAGGTGTTCCTCTCTGTTTTTTTTAATGATAGCGAAAGAAATATGTACTCCTTATGTTTCATATCATAAGTGTTTTGACTTTTCTCTTAGTCCAACCTTTCTAAATTTAACCTAGTTTATAAAAAAATATAATAACATTTTCTATACAATTAAAATTTATTCAATGTTATATCTAATGAAACTAATTTGGTGTGGTAGATGTGCTAGATTTTTTTATAAACGTAGTAAAACCTAAAAAAGTTTAACTAGAAAAAAAAATTAAAACTACTTATAATATGGAACGGAGGGAGTATAAAATTCTACCTAAAATTTCAGTTACAATTCAGAATCTAAATTAAAAATTACACTTGCTTGTTGGTGGTAAACTGCTCTACAAAATATATATGAATTAGAGCAACTCCAGCAAAACCCTAAACGCACCCCCCCCAAAAAAAACAATTTTGGAGTTAAGAGTCGACAGCGAGGCGCTTGTGGTGACTTCGTCAATCTCAAGGATTTACTGGTCCAGTCTTCAAAGATGCTCATAGGGGTAGAATTTGTGTGCGTGTGTCGGTGACATGGGACCGGGAGTATCATGACTTAGAGACTTGAGGCAGACACGATCACCCACGTGGCCTAACCCCCTCGGGGGGGGGGGGGGGTCGGGCCCGAGGGTGATATGGCCGCCCTTCTCTTTGTCTCCCCGAGGGGTCGGGCCCGAGGGTGATATGGCCGCCCTTCTCTTTGTCTCCCCGAGGGGTCGGACCACTCCCGTCTTGGCCCCGAGGGCCGAGGCGCCCCGACCCCTTGTGGGTTTTGCGCCGCGTATATGAGGTAGGTGAGCGTAGCAGGGCTCACCTAACCACATTTATTGCGGTTTGGACGAGCGCGTCACGCCGCATGTAACGCAGTGCAGCGCGCTCGTTTATCCGGTCTGTGATCAGTCACAGACCGGTCAGATCATGGGTTAGGTGGCGACAGGCGGTCTGACGCACGCCTCGCCCCATCCCGTCAGGACAAGAGCCTCCAAGCACTCGTCCCTAGCCGGAGCCGGCGTGTTAGCTCCTGGAGATGGCACGTTGGTTCCGGTCAGATATATGCCAGGCTTCATCCTAACCATTACAGGCAAGATATTGTATGAAGAAGGGCGAACATGCAGATTGTTAAACTGACACGTGGTGGACAAGAATGACCGATTTGTGACCGGTCTGACAATGGTCATGTCGTCAGCAGACAGCCATGTTCCCACGTCGCGCCTGCTTCCGGCGGAAGTGGAGGTAGGTATGGGCCGTCCCATCAGAAGGTCATTCGGACGGCAGCCATACAAATCTCTGTCCATTAATGAAGAGAAGTGAAGTAAGAAAGAGAGGGAGAGATGGTGCATGTGGTATCCCCTTGAGATATAAAAGGAGGACCTTGCCCACTTAGAGAAAGGGGAGAAAAAAGGATCCCAGAACGATTGGGGGCTGGCTCGCACTTTGTAGCTTCTTCATACACAGATCCACCAAAACACAGGAGTAGGGTATTACGCTTCTCAGCGGCCCGAACCTGTATACATCGCCCGTGTCTTGTGTGATTTCACTCTCGCGAACTTTCCACAGACCAAGAGCTTAGAACCTCACCCAGGGCCCCCGGCCGAACCGGCAAAGGGGGGCCTGCGCGGTCTCCCGGTGAGGAGCCCCACACTCCGTCATCTGGCGCGCCAGGTAGGGGGCTCTGTGAGTGATCTTCTGAGCTCTCGCACTCTTTCGTGTGCGCCAAGCTTTTCCTGTTCAGCCCGATGGCCGAACAAGCAAAGGCACACAACCTCTCTCCGAGTGTTAGCGGTGACGACGGGGAGCCGAACCCACGCCGTCGAGCTCGTACTCCACCGCCCCCTCCACGCCAAAGTCCTAGGCGAGAAGAGGCGCTCGAGAGGGTTGAAGGATCCGCGACTTCGACATCCACGGGTGATGGGGAAGGGCGGCGAGATGGGGAGCGTCGCCTCCTCGTCTACGGCGACGGCAGCACGCCCCAGGGCGCGCTCCAAGCTGCGGGCGCGCTCCTACGTCACCCGCCCATTGTCCCTGACCCGGAGTCTCCAGCCCAATGTTGGCTGGACGACGTGGCCAACTTGGTCATGACGGCACGGCAGCGCCTAGGTGCTGGTGGGCGGTCCTCCGCCACCAAGACCTCTGGCGCTGCTACCACCGGCTCCGTATCGTCAAGGCGAAGGGCGCGGCGAGCGGCGGCTGTTGCTCGCCATTCGGCCGCCACTCCTTCGTCAGCGCCTCCGACCCAGGAAGATCTGCGTGGGGGGCCAGATGCCCGCATCGATATCGAGCGCCGGCGTAATGGCCGACGTGCTGCCCACGCAACGGAGGGCGCCACCTCGTCCGGAGTGTCACATCAACACGGACGCGGGGATCAGCCCTCCGTGCCCCCGGTTGGTGGTGTCGGCTGTAGAGCCTTTGTGGCGAGCCTTCGGAACGTCCGTTGGCCCCCAAGGTTCCGGCCCACCATCGCCGAAAAATATGACGGGAGCGTCAACCCCGCCGAGTTTCTCCAGGTCTACACGACCGGGATCGAGGCCGCCGGGGGTGACGACAGGGTCATGGCGAATTTCTTTCCCATGGCCCTGAAGGGACAGGCGCGGGGTTGGCTAATGAACTTGCCACCCGCGTCCGTCCACTCTTGGGAGGATTTGTGCCAACAGTTCACCATGAACTTTCAAGGCACATATCCGCGCCCAGGTGAAGAAGCGGACTTACATGCAGTCCAGCGAAGGGATGATGAGTCACTTCGCTCATACATTCAGCGGTTCTGTCAAGTCCGCAACACCATACCATGCATCCCTGCACACGCGGTGATCTACGCGTTCAGGGGGGGTGTGCGGCACAACCGCATGCTCGAAAAGATCGCCTCCAAAGAGCCCCAGACTACCGCGGAGCTTTTTCAGCTCGCGGACCGAGTGGCTCGTAAGGAGGAGGCATGGACCTGGAACCCCTCCGGTTCCGGTGTGGCAGCTTCGGCCGCCCCCGGATCCGCTGCTCAGACAGGGCGGCGTGACAGGAGGAGGAAGAAGAGGTCAGCCCATACCGACGACGAGGGTCATGTCCTCGCCGTCAAGGGCGCTTCGCGGGCCACCCGAAAGGGGAGGCCTGCGGGCGACAAAAAAAAGGAGGCCGGTGCTCCTAGCAGGGAGCGCCCAACCGGCAAGTGGTGCATCGTCCACAACACTTCCCTTCACGACCTCGCGGACTGCCGCGCAGTCAAAAGTTTGGCTGAGCGGACGAGGAAGTGGGAGGAGGAGAGGAGGCAGGAGCGCCGAGAGGGCAAGTCCCCGGCGGTTCCTTACGGCAATCGGCGAAGTGAGGCCAAACAGAAGGCCCCCGCCGAGGACATCGATGACGGCGATGATGACCTAGGTTTCCAAGAGCCTGGGGCCACCATTGCCACTGTCGATGGGGGAGCGTGTGCTCACGTTTCTCGCCGGAGCCTCAAGGCCATGAAGCGAGAGCTTCTGGCCGCGGCCCCTACTCATGAGGCGACGCGCCGGGCGCGGTGGTCGGAGGTTGCCCTCACCTTCGACCAGACCGACCACCCACCGTACGTTGCCCGGGGAGGACAGATCGCAATGGTGGTTTCTCCCACTGTTTGCAACGTGAAGCTGGGGCGTGTCCTCATTGATGGGGGAGCAGCCCTCAACATCCTTTC